AAGTCAAAGAATTAATGCTGATTGTAATATGTGAAATATTCATACCGTCTTTAACTGGCAGAAAAAATATATATTTATGCGCTGAACATTTAGCATAAAAAACATGACCTACATTATGTTCCAGCAGTCTTCTACTTAAAATGTTTATTTTATATTGTAATCTAGAAAGATTCCCCTTTGGGCCTGATATTTTTTTTCACTCAAACACATACTGGGATATTTATATGGTGAGTACAGTTTACACACAGTCTGGAAATTGAATATGTCAAACTGACACTCAGCACTAACAGCAGCACACACCTGAGCAACCTCTTTCCCGTGCCCCTCAATCACGTTCTTATCATTAGTTCCTCATCTGCGCACATTCACGCCAGAATTCACTCCTCATCATGCAAGTGCTGTAGAGCTGGACAGAGCCTACTGCTCTCTGGAAAATAGCCCACCTGTCAATCTGTCTGTCCCGCCTGCCTTACCTGACTCCATGGAGGAGGCTCTGTCCTCTTCTCAGGGGCTCTCTCTGCTGATAATCTGTGACAGAGGCGAGGTTTAGACAGGTGTAACCATCTCTAATGGTGGTGTCAGTCAGAAAGCAGCCTAGCTGCTGCACAGTGGCGACAGCATCCATCCAACATTGTGGAGCTGCGCGTATAGATTTTTTTCTTTCCCATTGCCTACAATATTAAAAAGTTGTCTTATATTGTATGGTTGCTTGATGTATACTTAACTTAAGAAAACTCAGAAGAGGGCCACAAGATTTTTCTAATTTCTCGCCCATATGGGATGGACTGCTCTGCTCCCTGATGGATTATAACCACAGCAGCTGATGTCTTCATTTATAAAACAAGCAACAAGGAATGACGATGGTGGAGTAATATTGCTCGTATGAGTATCACCTAATCCTCCTCCATGCTACGCCCATACTGACTATTCTCCCTTTTACAGTGTCACAAGCGGTGCTCTAATGAACACTTTGTCCCTACACGATTGTTGGAAGCATTGATTACAGGAATTATTAGTGATCATTGATTGGGATATGACTTGCAAATTCTCTGCGTAGCGGAGCGTAATTCCTAGCGACGAGCACCCTCGTTTATACTCATTTATATTCTTACTTGTGCACCAGTTTGATTTCATCATTTGTTATCGCCCTGTGTTTAGACACCGCCGAAGTTAAAAATGGCTGCTTGCCTAGACTTCCTCTAGTGCTGGGTCTTAATAGGCTGTCGTGGGAATAGGAGGAGAGATTGATTCTCCTGATGATTTCATTAGATGACATCAAAGCGGGGAAATTGCAGCAGAGAGCAGGAATGCATCTTCGGTGAATGGGAAATAATGCCCTGTTTGAATTACACCGTAAGAATATTGGCGGGGACATATGACCTTGTCAATGGAGATATTGTAATTGTGATGTTTTTCTCATCAGGGAAGTTTTCTTGGGGCATCACGCTGGGTAGATTATGATAATAAGGTATTTGGATTATGATGCAAGAGCAGGCACATAGGTTTTATAGCACCGCGGATCAGTGAAAGAATCAATATCTGTAAAGAGTTTTTGCATTCATAGTATGTCTGAGTCGCTGCAGGTATCCAATCAGCCAGGTGCCCAGGGAAAGAGTTGCTATGTGCAGTGTTCTCCTTTTGAATACGAATAAATTACAAGGATAATTTTCCGTTTTCATGATGAGGATGAAGCTGTTGTTGGGCAAATTTTGAAAAAACACCAACAGGTAGCATGAGTAGGCTAAAGCTGAATATCAGGTGGCTGGAAAGTTGATGTTTGCTTGAAAGAGGAGGCTTTGGGTACATATGCTCCCAGGCATAATTACTCTCATATTGCATTTAGATTTAAATATTTTATAGATAATAGATCCTTGTGTCTAACCAGAGATGGGGAGAAGATGAAAAAATCCCTTTGATCAGTTCCCATAACGGACCATATTATTTTAAAGCGGGCTGCAGATGTTGAAATGTTAACATCAGACGAACAACAGCACGGGTCAGTTAAACTCACAGCCAGTTCAAGAAAACAAGAACTCACAATACAAGTTGTCATTTTCTGCCATTGCATCGACAGATAGGATCTTAGCGTTCCCCCATCTGGCAAATTCCCCATTAATCTTAGCATAGACTGTATATGTACGATGGGAATAATCACTGTGACTCAGGCCTCACTCAGTAGCAACTCGTCAATGAGAAAACAGCCTGCTTAATGTTCATTTTAGTCCAACTGTTTCTATAATTTCAAAGTGACCTAATATTAGCATTAAGACCATAAACACACTTGGAAACATTTACCAAGGATATGTCATTCAGTCATGCACTTCTGCACACTGGAACATCTTCTTGCATACAGTGGAGTCGCCACCTGGTGGCCATTAGAAAGAATGCAAGTTTAAGATCTGCACTGACTTCAGTATTCATTATATATTTATTGCTCAGAAACATAGAAGCAACTTTACATTTTGTTAAGATTAAAAAATGCTAGATATCAACAGCCTTGAAAACTGTATGTAGCAAGAAAAGTAAGAAAAGTTAAATCACTCTCAAAGGCTGGAAGCTTGTTAACTAATTGCTACTTTCATTCCTATAGTACTGTGTAGGACAACTATATTATAACTGCAAGTAAGGCAATGAGAGTAATTATGGGCTTGTTTGTTTCATTGACCAGTTAATCATTATATTAAGTAAGATACAAAGTCAAAAAATTAAGTCATGGTCATCCAAATTACAGAAGACATAGAAAATCAGGCCTCTTCAGCATTCATTTGCCCATGTGTCTGTTAAAATCAGGGTTGGCATGAGACAAGTCAGTCTAACAGCCAATCACAACTAGCCAAAATAAATCGAAAAAGAAAAGAAAAAGCCCAATACCAGTAGAGTTGGCAACTTTAATTAGGAGTTTGTTAGGATTTGAGTATACAGATTTGAAGGTGCTAAGAGTTTCACTGGGAGTGAGCTGGAGACAAAGTTAAAGAGTCAAGACTGAGATGTTTTGGACATGTGCAGAAGAGGAGCTGCCAGGCAGGAGGAAAATAGAAAGACCACAGAGAAAGTTCATGGATGCAATGAAGGAGGACATGCAGATAGTGAGGCAGATGATCCACCTAACAAGACGAGCTGAAAGAAGAAGAGAAGGGAATACATTTTAATTCTACCCTATTTAACCCACTCTTCTAGGAGAACTACAGATCTGGCACCCCTGGCAGGAATGGAGGTCAATTTTTAATATCTTTTCAGCTCTTGGAGCTCTTGGAGCTCAGTACCTGGGACTGCTGCCTCACTTGCCTTAGTTGGGAACCCTTGGACGTGCGATAGTAGCAGCTGAAAAACAAAAATGTCTGTGATACTGTTAAGGTTATATATCAGAGATGAATCTGTTCCACGGTTATCATAACGCGTAACATAACATAGAATTTGTATTATTAACAAATAACAGTGTAATGACTATCCAATGCATCAGATCTGTTTAGGGGATAAAGCTAATAATTACGAGAAGACAGAGGTCATACCAAGAACAAACAAACTGCTTGCTCATTTTACGTTAGTATGGTTTCCACAGTCTCATCAGAACGAATACCATCAACGTAAAAGCTCCTTGCACTATCTGCATCCATGAGAGCACGTCCCTGTACCTTTTAACCCAGCCTCTGATCCTATTAAAGCTGGATCCTTATCACCTTTATCAGGTTTGGAATGGATGGGTGCTTAACTGCATTTGTGCACAGTGGTAAGAGCTGACCAGGCTGATGTTGCATTAATCCACAAACAAGGTTACCACCTTGAGAGGAGGGCTGACCATTGATTAGAGAATTAAATCATCAGATTTTATCATCAATGTCTTAATTGCGGATGTCACACCGAAGCAACACACCGATGCCGCTTAACTCTGAACTATATTTGACCGACAGCACCAGCATATAACCTCTGATGCAGGTACGGGAACAGATGGGGCTCAAGCTTTCCATAGCACAACAGTGCCATCTAAGAGGCTAAAAGTGGGAATGGGTTTTTAAAGAGTCTGAACAGCCCTGTTCACATGAAATATTCCTCCAGCAACCAAACAAATACATGCAAATGATGGAGCCAGAAAGGAGCATAATGCTGCCTTACAGCAGGAGGATTGTACAAACAGTCACATATTATCCAGCACTGTGTGCTGACAGCCAGGCACGTTTCCCCACTAAGCATGTACCAAACAGGAAAAGAACAGGAAGTACAACAAGGAGGTCCACCACAAAACCCTGGCTGTGTGTCCAGGAAATGCCATTGTTGCTGCACGCTTTCACAACAGAGATCTCTTCCCTGCCTGTGTACTTCAAATATGGTCCATGGCAGTGTTTCTCCCACGATGTAATACGTAATTAAGGCATTAATAGTGGAATTAATTTATTGCACAGTATACACAGTGACGCATTGTTTTGTATGTTCCCGGCCCATAAAAAACGTCAGTGGAAAAAGGTGTTCAGTTGACGCCCAAGCGAAGGTTATTCTGGGTTATTTCCAAGGCCCGGGCTTTAGGACGTCCAACGATAACGAGAGGGTGGACCTAGCAGAGAGGGAGGGAGGAGTAGAGGAAGAGCTCTCACACTGTTCCTAATAAAACGCAATGTCATCACGTTGTTAAATCCCGCCAACGAAATTTGCAGATTATGTTTTCTGAGCTTAATGGCAAATTGTTTGCCTAAAAATTGGGAGAATCGTGACAAGTGCTAATTGCAATGAATCCAAGACCCTAAATTAGTTATCATCACTTTTATTGTTATTTGAACAGCAGCTGTTACGTAAGACATAGCAGGAAATGTATATAAGCAGTGACACTCGTTTCTCTCTTCTCTCTCTCTGTCTCTCTATTTCTCATATATATATATACATATATATAGTGCGTGTGTGTGTGTGTGCGTGTGTGTGTGTATTTTATCGTTCATTGTTTTGTTTAAACGGTAGGAACAATATTTTTTGACTTATATAGACGATCTTTGTCCTAGAGTAACCGCATTGGCCAATAACACCATTGAGGGGCGGGGATTTCCGGCAGTCTCGTGTCTTCACGGTTCATAGTGGGCGTTGAATAGCGTCTTCTTCTTCAGCTCATACTTCACGATAACGTTACCCAAGTTAAGCTACGTCAAACCGGGAAATTTATAGGTTTAGCCGGTCGACGAAGATGACGGAAAGTGCTACGAGTAAGCTGCTAAACGGAGACGTTTGTCACCGGACCTCGAATGGTAAAAAGGCCAGTAAAAATGGCTTCGTGAAGGATCACTCTCTGTTTGAACAGCCACAGAAGTATCGCCGCCCCAGAGACAAGGTAAGGCCCAACCATCAACTGCTAGGGCACGTCCATATACAAACAGCTCTTCAGCATAGTTTGAATTAATCCTGTTAGTGTTAGCCTGTGAGCCGTTCGTTTGTATTACTTCTGTTTGTCCTGTGGTCACATACTCCTGTGAGGGAGTGTGTTTCCACAGCAAGCATATGAGTGTGAGTAGCTGCCATATGACTGTGACCTCACGAGTTAGCTGCTATATTAATGAAATTAGCCAAGACTGAAGTCTGGGCAGTTGGTTCACGTCTTTATTATTATTGTTATTATTTCATATTCCGTACGTTTGTTTTACACTGTCTCCTTCAGCGCCATTCAGCATAGAAAAAACGGTAAACCACCGTTAGATTCCTCTTCTTTTGCACATTACTGCTGGTATTTTTCCTCATTTCTAACTTTTATATTTTTCAAATTATTCAACTTTATTCAACAAAAATGTATAATTATTTCAGTGGGGAGACTGTTCAAATCTTCTTTCAACTTACTCATCTTTCATCTCTAACTATTTCCATATACGTTGACCTACAGACACAAAGTTTGAATGGTGTCTGTGGTGATAAAAGTTTAAGTTTAATGCTTTTTTCCACCCGTTTCAGAGTTTATAAATGGTGTCTATGGGACGGAATGTTGGCAATTACAGTGAGAAAAGAGCAAAGCCAAATGCCAGAGTGGCATAGATCAAAAGATGCATCTTAAAATCTTCTCTTTCAACTGCTGCTGTGTCCACAGAGTTTGGTCTACAGTTATCAACAATGCATCTTTCAACTTCTAACCAACCCATAGAGACATGCTGTGTTGTGTTTTTAGTTAGTTTGTCTCAACAGCAGGAAAGACTCCACTTTTTAAATTGCTCCTGTGGCCACATTTTTGACAGCAGGAGCATAACAAACACACTGATGTGTGTCTGTAGTGGATTCTCCCCACATTTCAGTGATTTAAAGAATATGAACTTTCAATATTCATTCAGATGTTTTGTGATTCTAAATTTCTTTTGGTATTAGTCAGCTTTTTCTCATCTCAATTTTAAAGATGTTCAGCTACTTTCCGATTTTGAAACTACTTCTATGTGAACTTTAGCTCTTAACAGTTCTACATTTTAGCCTTCAGGCGAATGATTCGGCCTATTTCAGCTCATTCAATATGACATTACATTTCAGCTCAAAACATTCAGCTATCAGCATTCACACGGCAGTTTCTTCAGGAAATGCATTCTCTGGTGATCTCATACAGTCTACACTTTTAGGCCTAATACTATAAACCTCAAGCTAGCTGTTTAAGTTAAAATGAACTTTTACCTACTTTTTATTTTTAAATAAGCATTTCTCTTTAACACATTCCAATCTAGAAAGTCACTACTGTGATTCTACCTTGTATTGGGTTTTACTGCGCTGTATAGGCTACATATACTTATGCTGTCAAGGGGAGCATGCCACCTGATCAGGCCTGACTGCAGTGGAGACTTTTTTTTTCCTGTAACTTTACACTCTGTTGTTTTTCACCTCTTGCGTGTATATTGCACCTGTGCCAGGTGAAATCAGACAGGCCTTTGTTTACGCTGACCCCAGTATGAGACGACTGAGGTCCTGCGGAGTTATTACCACAGAAACTTATCACCACTACTTTCACATGACACTTGAGCACTAGGCTGTGAAGGGTGGGGTCCTTCCCTTTCATTCCCAAGGCAGGAATGAAACCCACAAAAAGAAAAAAAAACTCTTTTTGAAAGTGTTTTTTTTGTTTTTGTTTTTGTTTTTTGTGGTAGTGGAGGTCTGCCTTGTGCTTGTTGTTTTTAGCTTGTTTAAATTAAACACAGAAGGGAGACAGCATTAATCCAACAGCATTCAGAATGCTGATTTCAACATTTACATAACTAGATCCAGATTTTGTGGCTATATTAACAGCTTAATCCTTAAAGATATATATAGACGCTCGTTTTAACATCGTCAAAGTTGCAAATAATGAAATGAATGTATGTGGCGGTAAAGGCTGTGAACCGAAAGATCAGTTTAGAAAAGTTACTTTTTCCTAATCTTGCCTCTGTGTGAGTCACTGGTAGCGAATATGGTCATCTTAGGGACACAAGGCTGACTGCTGCCCTACCCACCTGCTCCCCAAACCTTCAGTTTATGAGGGCGGGGCCTGTAATAAGCTGGTTTAAGGCAAAAAGTAAAAGCTAATGGAGTCCCCAAAAAAAAGAAACCTGGAGCTAGAAATGCGCACATTAGGACCTCTTTAATTTTGTTTGGCAATGTCAAACTGGGTGATTGGCCTTGGTCATTGTTATACATGGTATTTACACTTAAACTGGAATTGCTGTAAATGGTGAAAAAGCGTTCTCCTGTGCCTGCTTTGATTGGGCACTCTGCTTGCTGTTGATAAGGCCTTGAATTTATGGTGCTTCATGGTGAGACCTGTGTTTGATGGAGGAATAGGGGTGTTAATAATTGCTCTCTTTTAGCAGCACTGTTTAGGTTTTTTTGTAACTGTTTCCTTCAGTCAGCCAGTTGAAATGAGTGTTCCCTGTCGATCGAGTGCAGTATTTAACACATTTACAGTAAAGACTGGATTTCAGTGACGGATCAATAATCACGTATGACAAGTTTATCGAAAAATGGTTGGAAAAAGGATTTGAGCATGCAGAGGGAAAGATCCTTTCAGCTGACAATTAGACATAATTTGTTGTGTCTGATGTGAACCGTACACCAAGAGCTGCTCTTATTATGTATACAGTGTAATATGATCTGCTGAACCGCAGAGGAAGCATGAGAAAGAGCAAACATAAAGGGTTGTTTTTTGGCTGTTCCTCTGGGTGCAGTTTCAGTGATGCTCGTCTATAAACAAATGGGACCTCTGGTGTATTTTTTATTTTATTTTATTTTTAAACAGAGTAAATCTGAAGCCAGGCAAACTACATCTAGTCTTGTTGGCTGCCATCAGTATGCAACAGTCTGTTTGAACAGTGCACTTGAACAGGACTGTTTTGTGCTCACTGCTTTCAGAAAACATGGCTGCCAGAGTGCTATTCTCAGTGCTGTTTCAGTGAGGTTGGGTTTAGTTACACACCCTGTGCACACACATGCACGCTCCTCTCCTGGTCATAAGCTCAAAGGTGTTTCTCGGAGAGGCATGACTGGTCATATGCGATATGGCTGCTAAGCTGCAGGGCAGAGCAATGTAATGAGTAACTGCCCTCATCGGTTTACTGTTGGTTTTGTAAGCAACTAAAAAAATCAAATAGCCAAGCTTTTTTATTATTATTTTTTTCAATGTTGTGCTGCTCCACCAATCTATGACCACATTTATATCACCTCACAATCCAAGATCAATATAACTATTCATAAAGCTCAGTGACTCAGAGCCCTAGAGGGAATGGGCTGGGGGGGGGCTGCAGTGACACAGGAATGCCTCAGTGTCCACGAATATATTTACTTATTGTGTAACTTTTAGCTTTCTGAAAGTGTTTGCAAGACAAACTCAAACTTAGCTTAAACTGGAGTGACCGGGTCTGCTTCCTGTTACGCTGTGTTTTGGAGTTCTTGTATAATAATAATAATAATAATAATAATGAATTGGATTTATATAGCACTTTAGTAGTAGGAAGCAAACAGATCTGGCGAGATGCGGAAATGGTCTTAAATCTATATCTCACACTCAGATTGGCTGGTTGAATCTGCACAAAGATGTTTAAATTTCACTCAAATTGAGATTCTAACCTCCTGTTTTGTTTTGTTTTTTGTTGACGTCCAGAACCAAAATGTCCCCCATAATTCCAGCTTGTACAAGAAACCATTTGTGGAATCCTTCGAGGAGACTCCTCTATGGGTTGCTGTGCTCACCTACATGGGCTACGGTATCCTCACCATCTTTGGCTACCTCAGAGACTTCCTTAGACACTGGGACATTGAAAAGTGCCATGTGGCCCGTGAGAGAGACGAGCAGAAGGTAATGAAGTGTATACTGAAGTTTTTCACATACAAGACAAAATAATCTAGTCGTCCTACTTTTATTGCAACATGTTTTATGTTTGAATTTTGGATATTTGATGTCTGAAAAGAGTTGGTGTTCATGTTGTTGTCTTACATCTGGTTCAGAGATTGCTCCTAATTTAAACTGTCAAGATTATGTTAGAAATCGTCTGCACTTTCTCGCCTTCTTTCTGCAGGATTTTGTCCCCCTCTATCAGGATTTTGAAAACTTTTACACCAGGAATTTGTACATGCGGATCCGAGACAACTGGAACCGCCCTATCTGCAGTGTTCCTGGTGCCAAGGTGGACTTGGTAGAGAGAGTAACACACGACTACAACTGGACGTTTGAGTAAGTCGCTTGTTTTTTGTGTTGTTTTTGTGGTTCTTTGTCTCCATGTGTTTATTTTGAATAGAGGTGTTTCACATGAAGGTCATTAATCCCCTCAGAGGTGTGTCTGTTCCATTAACGTGCACTTTAAGTCACTGACCTTGCAGTTCTGATAACGAGAGTGACGTAGTCTCTCTGAGGTGTGTATTTCTGTGTCACTGATTTACACTCACAGTTTACTGACCTTGTGTTTCTGATAGTGAGTGATGCAAGGCATGACTCACGTGGTTATGTTGAAACCACTGCTTTCTGTCACATGATGTCCTAAGATACACCCTACACAACTCATTACAGTAAAGTATGAAAGAGAAATCATCCCTGAACATGCTGACATCCCAAAGCAAACTGGCAGTCGGTCCTTTAAAGTCTCAAATGTATTTCCCGTACACCTGTAGATTTCCAGAGGTACTATTTAGGAAAATATGATTAGACGATAATGACGAACCAAATTAGATGAGTGAGTTGAGTTTATAATTCATATCATTTTCATACCCAGTTCATCATATTTCTTTGTGTTTACTTCAAGGGCGTTCAGAGTGCTTTAGCTCAGTGCCCTAAAAGAGCAGCTTACTTCCATAAAACTTTAAATACAAACAAATTTATGTACGAGTACTGGGACACCTATACATCACATGTTCTGCCAGGAATCTCTCGGCATACAGTTTTTGTGCTGATGTTAATGCCAGAGGAGGTTTGGATTTCTGTAGTTAATGAGTCAGCAGAGCTTTGGCGACTTTTACCTACGATCCACCGTAACTTTAAAAGGTCCACTGCTTTTTAGCTGAGTTGTTGTGGTTCCTAAATGCTTCCATTTTGCAATAATGCCACTTACAGCTGCTCATGAAATGTCTGGGAGGGAAAACGTTTGTGAACTGACTTGTTGCAAAGGTGGCATCCTGTCACAGTACCATGCTGGAATTCAGTGAGCTCTTTAGAATGACTGATTATATCACAAGTTTGTGAAGGCACACTGCAAAGCCAGGTGTGTAGGGCTGAAAACAGGTGTGGCCCGGTACTTTTGTTCATAAAGTCTGTCTGTGTTACACAGACAGCTGCTGAGCCCGGCTCTGCTGTAAGTTTCTTTCTGTTAAAGGGGATGTTGTTATTCCTCCCTATTGTAGGTAGCATGTGCTAGCTCGTGCTACCTACAATAGGGTACAGTAGGGTCTTTATAATGTTAAGTGATCTGTAATTAAAGAGTTGAAAACAGCTTTTGAATTTAGTTCAGTAGCTGTCAATAAACTGCTCTGCTTATTTTAAAGACTATCGTTCTTTAAAAATATTTCTCTGATTAGTATCTATTGTTTTAAAAAATGCAGCATACCTGCCAAATTCTATTGATAACATAATAGTTTATTGTTCCGATGTGCACGATAACATTGGAAGCTGTAATGTCAACACTAAAAAAGATTTCCATTGCAAAATGAGCAAACAAGGTTAAAGAAACAACTTTTTTTTTTTTTAAACCCAATTTTCTGTCTCTTCCCGTCAGGCATACAGGCAAAGTGGTGAAGGACGTTATCAACATGGGCTCGTACAACTACCTCGGCTTCGCTGAGAACACCGGAGCTTGTGCCGATGCTGCTCTCGAGGTCACAAAAATGTACGGAGTGGGAGTGGGCAGCACTCGCTGTGAGATGGGTAAGGGGGGAAATCTTTTGAATGTTGACATTTGGTCTGTGAAATCCTTCTTGTGATTCGTCATCCTTCAAGGATGCTTTTTTCCACTATGAGTAAAAGTGGAATTGCCCAGACTCTCCACTTCCAGTTAAACCGCTGCTCCACACTTGTTTTCGCTTTCAGGATGCATCAGTAGCCACAGCTCAAGTGCTGAAATAATAATCTGTGATGGGAGCTTTGAAATTCGAATCCTTTTACAGTTCAGCACCTAGTATGCTGCTCCCTTTTTCTTTACTTTACTTTTTTTTCTTTACTTTTTTTGGGGGTGGAGGGGTGTAGCTTAAGGGAAATGGACCGACTTCCCCGATACGATGGAAAAGGAAGCGTGACTTGGAGAAAAGTCTGTAATTTAAATATCAGAGGAACCTGAAGAGCTGCTGTGATTTTTTTTTTTTCAGGAAACTTGGACATCCACGAGGAAATGGAGCAGTTGGTTGCCAGGTTTCTGGGAGTTGAGTCAGCCATGGCTTTTGGCATGGGTTTTGCAACCAATTCCATGAATATTCCTGCTCTCATGGGGAAGGTGAGGAATTTCATTCACTTCCTTTGACACTCAAATGTATTCATCTGAGTCTGTACGTATGTTATCACGTTGAGCCCTTTGTGAGTGTTGGTAACAACAATTTCTGCTGAGGAAACCCACGTCTTCCTGTATAAAGTGAAAATGGGATACTTACTGGATACCAGGCGAAGCTACTGCCCAATGTCACTTAGAAATGTAAAACTAAATACTTTACAAAATGGTAAATGGTCTGTATTTGTATAGCGCTTTACTTGGTCCTA